ATGTCAGCAGCTGCGAAGCACTTAACACCTGTAACTCTAGAACTGGGTGGAAAATGTCCGACCATCCTTGACACTCTATCAAATTCCTCCGATTTACAGGTTTCCAGTGGTTAAATATCCTCTAAAACAATAATGATTACTTCATGTTTCATCTAAAAAGAAAGTTAAGCTATAAACTTTAAGGGGTCAAGGCATCTCCCATAAGGAACAACTTTATTTGTTGCAAACTAAAGGAAAATGACATAAAGTTAAGAGTATAATTGGATATTTTTGTCCTACGTCGTTGCACCAAAGTTATGGGTCGCGTTATAGAGAGGAGTAGAGTTGAGGGGAGTAGGAGTATCCAATTACCAAAACAGAAAAACGATTGGATTTAATATTAATATTTTGTTATTAAACCAAATATTTAATAAAATTTCTGTTAATATTTTACTATTAACAAATAAATTTGGTCTAAAAAGTTAATCAATCAATCATTTGACCGAATCCGAATCCGTAAGCCGAAGCCGAGCGAGCGACGACGACGGCGCGAGGCTTGCCTTCTTCTCAACTCTTTAAGAGCTAGAAGAAGAGCAATTGCTTATATACCCATAAAAAACCTCTTCCTCTTCCAATATGGGACAATGCCCATTTGCCAAGGGAGGGGGAACTTAAAATTTCACTCAAAAATTTCATTTCCCTCCATTTCCCATTCACTCTCTTTTAAGTATTTAATATATTAATTAAATAATTTAAAAACCCAACAGAATTTTTTTTTAAAGGTTAAACTTGAGATCTCTAATTAAGGATAATCGAATCTCAACGCTATCACAACACCTCTTGGTGCTATTGAATGGATTTGACAAACAAAAGAAATTATTAGATATATAAAAAATACAGCAAGATATACCCCACCACGATGATGATTTGTTTCTTCCCCCCATAAATTATGGATTCAATGGTTAAGGTCTTATAGGATGTAGCGATATATAATGGGAACATCGTCTAGAAATCATGTATATGCTGTGCGCGTCGAGTTAGCCATGAGTCATAGTATATCTTTATTTATTCATCTACTCCGATTTTTATAATAGTAGTGTGGCTCACGAGTCACATATGGTCCCCTCTGACTCTGAGCTTTGATCCAATCTATAAATAAACTATCATACTATTCACTCTCACTACCTCAAAATCATTTGCCTTTATCCTTTCATTTTCTAGAGAAAGAAACAACTGGACAGAAAGAGAGTTCAAGAAACCATGGGAGTAGCTCAAGTTAACCAAATATGGTTCCATTTCATGATCATCCTCTTCTTCATCTCCATATCTTTTATTTCGGCATCTGTAAGTCACCCCTCTCTTCTTGCAATAGTGGCAGATCTAGAATAGACGCATCGAGTTCGGTCAAACTCACTACTTTATGTGTGTGTGTATAATTGCTCATCTGAATTTTATTTGATTTGATTTAAAAATGCAGGAAGATGATTGTGTGTACACAGCTTACGTTCGAACTGGATCAATCATAAAGGCTGGAACTGACTCAAACATTAGTTTGACTGTCTACGATGCCGATGGCTATGGGATAAGAATCAAGAACTTAGAGGCATGGGGTGGGCTTATGGGCCCAGGTTACAACTATTTCGAAAGAGGAAACTTGGATATATTCAGTGGACGTGGTCCATGTTTGACTGGGCCGATCTGCAAAATGAATCTGACTTCTGATGGATCGGGCGCACATGCCGGATGGTACTGTAACTACGTCGAAGTTACCGTTACTGGAGCCCACAAACAATGCAACCAGCAGCTTTTCACTGTGGAGCAGTGGCTCGGCACTAACGTTTCGCCATATGAGCTGACGGCCGTCAGGAACAACTGTAAGAAGTCCAAGTCCATAATTTATGATTCTGAATCTTATCCAGTTGTTGATGTAATTTAATGGGGCAGCCCAACAATTTGTCTCTGTAGTTTTTTCTTTAGAGTGAGAAGAATTAGCGTGATGCTTGTATGATTTATGAACAAGGCTAGGGCCTGATGTGTGCTGTCGTCAGCATTTTTGAGAATAATAAATACTGTCCTCTCTCTTTAATTCTATTATAGTCCTCTAAATTTTTGTTATGCACATTATCATAGGCGGAGCCATAGTGTCTGCTGCGGGCTCAGCCAAACTCAGTCGCTTTGATTAAAATTATATTTGTCTTAAAATTTTTATTAAATCTATAAAAATTATTAATTCAGAATTCGATAACTTAAAGTGAAATTCAAAAATAGCCAGATTTATAATTGGTCGTTCAAGAATAGCCCAGTTTCAAAAGTAATCGATATTTAGCCATTTTTCGTGTAAAGATAAATCTGAGCGAAAACACCGTTCAAGACCCGGAAAATACGCCAGCATATTATGCTGGAGTTCCAGCATAAGTATACTTGAACTCCAGCATATTATATTGGAGTTCCAAGATAAGTATGCTGGAACTCCAGCATAATATGATGGGGTTCCAGCATAAGTACACTAGAACTCCATCATAATATACTGGAGTTCCAGCAAGTATACCGGTCCAGCATAATATACTGGAGTTTGGAGCACCGGTGCTCCAGTCTCCAGTATATTATACTGGAGCCAGCAAAGTATACCGGTCCAGCATAATATGCTGGAGTTCATACACTGGTGCACCGAACTCCAGTATATTATGCTGGACCGGTCTCTGCTGCAGCAAAATCGTGGCTATTTTTCATTGACTTGGTAAACGCTGGCTATTTTTGAATGACCAGTCCGAAAACTGGCTATACCGTGCTATTTTAACGATCCCGAACCCATAAATTTAAAATTCTGACTCCGCCTTTGCATACCATATAACTCTTTTTTCTACGTTTTACCTACAGCTGTAGGGAGAAGTAGTTGGAGGCAAGAGTTCACTTGAATATGATCAACTTGAGTTTGTTCAAAACATCTCAAACTCATATCATTATTGAGCAGCTTGATAAATTGATCACAAAACCATCTTTTACATATTCCAATACTATAAAACTACAATTATATGAGTAATAAATACATTGATGTGCAAGTTTTGAAACATAGTTGTTTACGTTGAAAATGGTAACTAAAATTATACTTGATTTTGTGGTTCTAAAAATACGTGATTTATTTAAATGCTAGCTGTTAAGCAATAGATGTTAGGTATAAATAAAGAGAATAAGATATGCAAACCAATGGGGTCACGAAGCTGGGCCTCGAGCTGGCTGAAGCAGGACCTCGAGGGCAAGATGGGGCTAATAACGATGAACTATTGATAAAGAATCAATGGTAGTGAGGGCTTTATAGATGGCCTTTTTATGATTAATGAAGAACAATAAATGAACAATGCAAGAATAGGCAATAAATGTGCAGAACAGTTATTTTAGCAAAGAGAGCAGAGAATGTTGTATGTTATTCAATATCAAGGTCCCTTACAAAATAACAAAGGTTCCCCTTATATAGGAGGGGTGAATCCCAATATAGCAAATGCCTTAATAAATAAAGAATAAAAGCTACTAGTACAGTTGTGTAATGGCTCAGTGTGGATTTGTACTACTCTTGCAGACTTTGTCAGTCCTTATCGAGTGTCCTCGGGGGTTTCCCGCCTTTCCATGTCGATCACCGACCTGTGCCGCTCTAAGATCGACCTTCGATGTGCCCCCTCGAGGGATGCACCTCGGGGTCCGCCTTCAAATTCCACTTCGAGCTCCTTGAGGTCGGGCGTTGGAGTGCCACAGTAGCCCTAAAGTCGAACTCTCCGATTTTGACCGTATACAGATAGTCCCCGCGTTTCTTAGAATGAAAAGATAAGAAACGATCTTGACTTCGACTGTCTCGAACCCCTTGTGATGACGTTATGCTGACGACGCTGGCGTTTGAAATGATTGAAACGACCCGTCGATTTATCCCCCCCAGAAGCATTGAGTGCTCTGTCGGTTCGTTTCCCCAAAAACATTGAATGCTCTACCGGTTCGTTTCCCCAAAAACATTGAATACGCCGTTAGTTTCGTCGCCATTCCTCTATAAATTTGGGATTTCTGAAACTAAAGTTTCATTCATTCTTTCTTCAACAATCTTTAGTCCTTCCTTTTCTCTGTATCCTCTTCTGATCTCTTATTCTTATGGTTCAAACCTGTGACCATAAGGTCACAAGGCAGCAACCTTATCAGTTATGTTATGGCTCTTCTTCGAAACCTTTTCCCTCCGAGAGGAACTATGTTGAGTTGTTGTTGTTGTTGTTGCTGGCCTGAATCGATGAGAGGAGGGCATCAAATTTTTCCCGTATCAGAAGATATGTGTACTGTAAATTGCTACTCATCTGTCTTAACTTCAACCTGGTGTGGCGCTTCACTTCTTTTGGTTTCCATGGAGTGAGGTGGCACTATCTACTAACTTTTGCATCCCACACTGGTACAATGTCTCAAGAAATGGCTTCACAATAGTAGTGCTGACGAGACCCGTACTCACCAAGCTTTTCACTAAGCAACAATTTTCTTTGCTTGTTAAAAGCTTTTGCTCTTTGATAGGCTATAGCCTTATCTTCATCTATTGCTGCTTCGGAGGAGATTCTCGAAGGCAACGTTCTAAAGATCGAAGTGAAGTCTCCGAAAAAAAGGTTCTCGAGGATGTTGCTCTTGAAGATAATCCCTCAAAATTAGATTAGGCAACATTGGTTTGTTGTTTCATGCTTCTTCGTTTCTGTGTAAGGGCCCCTCGTGGGCTTTGTAAATCATCTTTTATTAATATAAGAATATCTTCATTTTGCCTTCAATTGTGTTGAACTCCATTCTGTTTTCATTTGTGAAAAGACCAGATGTACGACCTTAACGATTGGTCCGAATATCGGATTCGGAACATAACAATAATAAACCCCGGGGTTTTAATTTAATTAATGCGATGCTTCTCGAAGTCCTTTGTTATCCCTCGGACTGAGCTTGGATTGATCTGATGCGAATTTAGGTCACCAGGACTTTTGAGCCCGAATTTAGTGGGAGCTGGGTCTTGATTTTTGAAATAAATCTAGCCCTTTCAGGCTTTGTCGGCAGCCCTCGAGTGAGAATTTTCTCGAACCCAAATAGCCTTTGGATTTAGCAATCGGGTGCCTATTCGTTCGATGATCTGAAAATAAATATAGCCCTTAGGCCTCTACAAATAGTCCCCGAGTGAGAGTTTACTTGAAATCGGGTAGCCCCTAACTAAGCGAAAGTTGCTCTGAACTTAAAATAAGGACAACCCTAAGGCGTTATGGACAGTCCCTGTGTGAGGACATACTCAACTCGGGCGGCCTTTGGGCTAACATATTTGGGCGAGCGTCTCTTCGAACTTGAGATAAAGATAGCCCTGAGGCTTTCTTAATAGTTCCCGAGTGTGAACTGGCTCAAATTCGGATAACCCTTGGGCCAAAACAATCGAACGAGCGTTTGCTCGAACTTGAGATAAAGATAGCCCTGAGGCTTTATTAATAGTCCCCGAGTGAGAACTGGCTCGAACTCGGGTAGCCCTTGGGCCAAAATAATTGAACGAGCATTTGCTCGAACTTGAGATAAAGATAGCCTTGATGGTTTATTAATAGTCCCCGAGTGAGAACTGGCTCGAACTCGGTAGCCCTTGCACCAAAATAATCGAACGAGCGTTTGCTCGAACTCGACTCGTAGACTGTTCTTTAATAATTTCTGACAATCCGGTTCCCGATGTTTGGGTCCTAACGTCAACATCATGACATAAACGATTGAAGAAACTGAAGCGTTGCTTTTTGTACGATTCCCAGAAGCATTAATTGTAGGCGGCCGACGGTCGGCCTATTGGCTTCCTTAGCACATTCAAACGATCTTTATAAATATACAAACCCCATAACCTTGTGGATATCATTCTCTTAGTGCTTCAAAAATTTCATTTAGCCCTTTTCAATTTCCTTGAACTCTCCCTTCTCTTTTCTAACAACATTTTCCATCCCCTTGGATCTTTCGCTTTTAGAGATGGCAAAAACTTCTAAAACTGTTCCTCAAAAGGAAAAATCTTCATCGTCTTCTCGAACGACCAAAGGTAAATTGGTAGTTCCTCCTAGTATCGAGGAGTGTACTCCTGGGCCTTGTGATACATCTTTTGGCTTCTAGGTTGAAAACCCCTCCTCTGTTCCGGGACGATGTGAACCCATGTCACGATATATCAGCTTAATAACCGAAATCGAGAAAGTGAGGGTTGACTGCTGTTGGCCGTAGGCGGTGCAAGTGGATATTCCTTCACGAGGAGAAGACATAACCAAGCACAAAGCCGTCTTCCTCAGTGTATACACATATCCTTTCACCTTAGGCCTGGTAGAAGCCTCTTCACCATCGATAGAACCAGTGATCCTCGATTTCTACATACAATATCGGTGACGCTTGGACAAATCTACCCATCATTCTGGCGCATTGTTTATATGATTAGGTATTTCTCAAACATGGTTGAGGGGACGCCTTTTACCCTTGACCATCTAATTAGACTGTATAGCCCCCGACTGTATCGAGGTGGTCTAATTAAGCTAAAATGTCGATCCTCGAAGGCCTTTTTTGCTAGCATCGATGAAGACAAGGATCGAGGGTGGATGAGTCCTTTTGTCCGACTTGGACCTTGGACCTGATCCCTGCTGAAAGAATGTCGTTCCCCGAGGAATGGAATATGAATTGTAAGTAAACATGTTTCGCTGATCTGATATTTTTTTTTGATTTTGAATTAACTTTCTTCTGTGATATAGCTACCGAGTGGTACCCCGGTGCTGTCAACGATCTCCCGGGTTGGGTCCGATGACTTGATTTGATCTGCCCCTATGCTAAGCGCGTGTGGCGTAATCTGGATAAGACTCGTTGGGAGGCCAAAAATCTCGGCAAGTTTTTATCTCTGTTCATACTTGAGCTCTTTTTTAGAGAAGAATACCTCTCGCTAGCACTCTCATCTTTTGTGCCTATGCAGGCCTTGGAGAGGCCGTTTTGATAAGGGAACCCCCGCCTGGGGAAGCAGATACCCCGAAACCTGCTAAGGAGAAAAAGAGAAAGAAGAAATCGCCGATCGGGTCCTAGAAGCCAAAGAAGTCTAAGGTTCAAAAGCCCGAGGCCGATTAAACGGCCTTAACTCGGGAAGCGACCGAAGATCTTCGTGCCGAGGGCGAAGAAAGTGATGACTGCATGTTGGCACTTAGAGGGAGAAGAAGTGTTGTTGCCTCGAAGTCTGTTGAGCCGAAGGTGGCTGAGTCGGAGGATGTCGAGGTGGTCCCGACCCGAGATAGGGGGATTGTTAAGGGGAATTCGGACGAAGTCCCCGTGCCGACCAACGACCCAAGCACATTAGGTGCCGAGGGGCACCTGGCTGATGAACCCGATGAAACAAATGATGAAGCCCCTCGGAGGGGGGAGAGGGTCCCCGTTGAACCAGTCGAGGTGATCAATGTAGATGAGCCTCTGCCTGGCCCGTCCTTCTCTCCTAGGCAGATACGGGATGCCCAGGATATGAAAATTCCCATCGAGGGGGCATCCCCCCGAGAGAACACTACGTTTGAAGGATGTTTTACTGGGGTTGAGGAAGGCCCCGATATCGACACCTCGTTGATCTTTGAGGAATCCGAGAAGCTTCAGTAACAGATAATCTTAACTTCGACCGCTGTATGTTGAGTTTCGATTCTTGTTTTTCCGACTCTCTTCTTCTGTGTCTTCAGGACTTAAAGCTCTCTCACCAAGCCTTTTCCAAGTCACAAGCAGAGTTGGCTCGTTGTGAGGACGAATTTAGGAAGCTTGTTTCTGAATTGGACGAACTTAAGGCCCTTTATGCCCAAAAGAAAGGGGAGCTAGGTGACCTTCGAGCACATTTGGAGAGGATGTCTCGAGAGCAGGCCGATCTCGATGATCAGGTAATATGACCTTCGTGGGCTTACTTTTGTGCTCTAGCCAATTAAGAGCTAAATACCTTGCCTTGATTCTTTTAGATTAAGCGAAAAGATGATCTAATGCGAGGGGAGCTTGAAATCAGAGATACTGAAATCCTTGGGGTGAAGCAGCGTATGGATGAAGTGTCCTCCGATAAAGAAGCCCTCCAAGAGAGGCTGATCTCAGTCGAGCATCAAATCTAAGAGGCAAAGGGAGAAAGCCGTAAGTACAGAGACCTCCACACCGAATCAGTTGCTAAGCTGTCTGCAGCTAAGTCCGAAGCTGATGCGCTCATATCCTCATATCGAGATGCTGCTGCTGCTGCAAATGCTCGAGCTAGGAAGGTATCAAAAGAGGCTGAGCTTAAACTGTCCCGAGCCTTGGAACATGACCTATTAACGTCTCGGAGACAGGCTCTCGAGGATATATATGCAGGGGGCATTGATTTGTCTGCCGAAATCGAGAGGGTGAAGGCCCTAGAGGAAGAATCGGCAACTCTACTTTCTTCCGATGATGATTCAGCCAATGATTCGACCAGCGGCTCGGAGGATGATGAAGACGAAGGTGAAGTCCCAGAGGGGGAGGAGGCCGTTGATGCTTCGAGGGTCGAGGACCAAGCCGTTGAAGGCACAACTCCGGAGGGAGCTCCGTCCGGAACCCCGGCGGTAGATTAGGTTTTTATCTGCTCCCTTTTTGTGTAAGGGCTTTAGGCATGAGCCTTGTAAATATGTTTTTGTGAAACTTTATTTTGTACATAAGGTTATCTGCTCTTCGTCATTTCTTGTCTTTCCTTTGCCCTTTTTGAATAAACTTTGATGCTTGTCGATAACCAGTTTGGTGTGTCGGACTTATGATATAAACCCCTCAGGTTTTCATGCTTGATGAGTGATTCATAATAGTTGACCGTTCGGTATCAGCTCCTCGAGTCAAATTTAGAGTCGGGCTCGTTGACCCTTAGGTTTTCAACATATTGGCCTTTAGGCTGGCCCTTAGGCTCTTACGCATTGGCCCTTAGGCTCTTTTAAGGCCGGCCCTTAGGCTCTTACGCATCGGCCCTTAGGCTCTTTTTAGGCTGGCTCTTAGGCTCTTACGCATTGGCCCTTAGGCTCTTTTTAGGCTGGCCCTTAAGCTCTTATGCATTGGCTATAGTTTTCCCTCATTTTGGCTAAAGACTTTTGAAGTTTTGATTATGCCTTGGCATGTTTTGTGTTCGTCCGACTCTTCGACGGCCCAAAAGAGAACCTCAATTATGAGTTGATATGCGATGATATTTGAGTACCTCTGGAGGTTTGCTCGATGGTTGAGTTTTCGAAACCTTTCCATCAAAGGCTGATTGTTTTCGAAGCCCTTTTATTTTTCGGAGCCGATATTATCGAAGCTCCTTTGCTTATGCCGAGGGTAGCCTGATTAACCGGTTCTTTTCGAAGTACTTTCGAAGTATTTGGAGGCCTTTAGTTTTATGGTTGGCAGTCGGACGTCTCCGAGCCGCGTTAATTCGGTCGTAGCCTTTTAGTTTGACCGTAGTCTTTATGTTTGGCCGTAGCCTTTTGTCCCTGGTGCGGTAACCTTGGCGTCTATATCGAGGGTATGCCTTTTTAGGGGTCTTACAAGTTTGGATATATAGCCTTGGCCTTAATATCGGGGGTTATGCCTTTTTTAAGGTCTTATAAATTTGAGCACGCCTTGTTGAAGGACTTACAGATTTGATGTTGCCTCAGTGAGGGCTTATGAGCTTGAAGTTGCCTGATCGAGGTCTTATGAATTCGAGTCTTCGATGGCTCGATGAGCTGACTGTCTGATGACAGTCCCCGGGTATTCGAGAGTTTTTGGCTCTTGGGCCGTTTTTCGTGATAGTAGCTAATTTCTTTGAGGCACAAAGTGTCCATAAACAAAGAGGCTTCCTCAATTACTTGATACATGCGTACACATTTTTTGCTTTTGGAGGCTCGATTATTCTACATGGACACGGTTCATTTGACCATTTGGCCCAATACAGCATTCTCCTATCGAGGTCCTCCTATGCATAGTTTGATTTCTGCCGAGAGGTGACCTCTTGGGGTGATGCCCCCCAGTATTTGAGGTTGATTGAAGAGAAACCTTGAATACTTGATGAGTTCTCCTTAGGTAGAATATAGATGTTGCCTCTTTAAAAACCTCGCCGGTAAAACCCGTACGGGATAAAACCCGGTCTAAGGGAAAAAGAGCGCAACACATGCTTTAAAACCTAAGGTCTTCGAGCTGAGGGTGCTCCGATTCCTTTCAATCGAATACCTGCGATAAGTTAGTATAGAACACAAATGAAAAAGAAGAGGGTCATACCTTAGCAATGATAGCATTTGAGCCTCGATGCGTTTCAATTGCTCGCTGCGAGGACGCAACACAGTCCTTTATTCACTCATTGGGGTGTAGCCGAGAATGTTGGTTGTGGTTGCTACTTGGATGTTTGTTTGTCTAAATGCTCCTTCGCGGTGGAGGGCACCGATACTGGTGCCATGTCGTGCACCGCGAACATCTCCCTTGCTGCATGTTGCTCCCCGTAGACCGCTTTTACTCCATCCTTGGTTGGAAACTTCATCATTTGATGAAAGGTTGATGGCACTGCCCTCATACTGTGTATCCACGACCTTCCAAGTAAGGCATTGTATCTCATGTCACCTTCGATGACATGAAATTTGGTATCTTGAATTGTACCAGCCACATTGATTGGGAGGGTGATCTCCCCTTTTATCGTCTCGCTCGCCATGTTGAATCCATTGAGGACTCGAGTGGCAGGTATGATCCGGTCGAGCAGTCCTAGCTGCTCCACCACCCTCGACCTGACTATGTTGGCCGAGCTGCCTGGATCCACGATCACACGTTTAATTTGAATTTTATTCAGAAGAAAAGAAATTACCAGTACGTCATTATGAGGCTGAGACAAGGTCTCGATGTCTTCTTCGCTGAATGTGAGAGCATCCTCCGGTATGTAATTCCGAGTTCGTTTTTCCTTGGTGATGGATATTTTCTTTCGCTTGACAACGGGTCCCTGCGGGGCGTCGACCCCTCCAATGATCATGTGGATGACGTGCTGCGGTTCTTCAGGCTCGCTCTTCCTCTTCGTCTCCCTCTCCCGAAAATGGTTTTCAGCTAGGTCGTTGAGGAATTCTCGAAGATGCCCTTCGCTAATTAGTCTGGCTACCTCTTCTCGAAGTTGTATGCAATCCTCGGTCCTATGACCGTGAGTGCCCTAATATTTGGATATCAAGTTAGGGTTCCTTTGTGAAAGGTCAGGCAGTATGGGTTTCTGGCCACCTGGTATCTTTGATTCTATTCATGGCTGACACGATGCCTGAGACGTCGACGCTGAAATTGTACTCGGATAGCCGAGGTGCCTCTGCCGGCCCAGTATGCCTATCGAACCCGGCTTTGCTCATGAGTCCCCGGGAAACTTGACCTCGATCTGACCTTCGATCGACTCGAGGCACATTACGCTTCGGGGCGTTCCTTCGATCCTCTACATAAGGCCGGTATCTTTCCTTGTTCGGTCTTGACTCCCTTTCCATAAACCTTTGTTCCTTTGTTAAGAGCCTGCTAGGATATACTGAGCCCGAAGGGGCTCCTAATTGGTCATCTTCGACCCTGATTTTCGATTGGTACCTGTTGTGCACATCCGCCCAAGTCACGACAGGATATTAGATCAAATTTTGTTTTAGCTGCTTCGAAGCTACTGAGATTCGTTCGTTCAAGCCCTGAGTGACAGCCTGCACTGCCCAGTCATCGGAGATTGGTGGTAATTCCATTCGCTCCATCTGAAAGCGAGATACGAGTTCCCTTAGCATCTCGTTTTCTCTTTGTTTGATTTTGAAGACATAGGACTTCCTTGTGGCGATCTTGATGGCACCGGCGTGTGCCCTCACAAAAGAGTCTGCCAACATGGCAAATGAATCTATTGAGTTCGGGGGTAGGTTGTGGTACCACATCATGGCCCCCTTCGACAGTATCTCTCCAAATTTCTTCAGTAGGACGGATTCAGTCTCGTCGTCCTCTAAGTCATTCCCTTTTACATCACAAGTGTAGGCGGTAACGTGCGCATTGGGGTCCGTGGTCCCGTTATACTTCGGGACATCGGGCATTCTAAATTTCTTCGGGATGGGCTTCGGAGCCGCACATGGTGGGAATGGTTTCTGTATGAATTTCTTCGAATCTGCACCCTTCAGAATCGGAGGTGCGCCCGGGATCTGATCGACCCTCGAGTTATAAGTCTCCACCTTTTTATCGTTATCCTCTATCTTCTTTTCTCCTGATTCAATCCTTTTGGTGAGCTCCTCGAGCATCTTTATAATAGCGAGGTCTGCTGCTGACCCGTTGTTACTCGGTCTCTCTGGCGTCTGCTCGACTCGAGGAGCCGTTTCAGGTGCTACTATGCTTGGAGTTTTATGGTGACTTTGTAGCTCAGCAATAGCCACTTGTTGTGCTTGCAACATTTCGAAAATGATTTGAAGGCTTACTTCTCTTTCCTCCCCGCGCACACTCTCGTTGGTATGAGAGCTCACATCAACATGCACAACGTTGCGTGAGTTTACGTCGACGGGGATTTTTACTGGTGCCTCCCCTGGGTTTTGCGGTGGTACACCAACATCTGCTGGCGCTACCCCTGGGTTTTGCGGTGGTACACCGACGTTTGCACCGTTTCCTCCCTGAAGCCCAATGCCGTTGTTTTCGCGTGCATGTGCTGAGTTAGACATTTTGACCTGAAATCAAAGATTCTTGGACAAGAAAAAGTGTGAAGAATAACTTGTGTTTTCAGAAAACCAGCACCAAAACAATCACTATTATTTTTAGCCCCACGGTGGGCGCCAAACTGTTTACCTTGAAAATGTTAACTACAATTATATTTGATTTTGTGGTTCTAAAAATACGTGATTTATTTTAATGCTAGTTGTTAAGCAATAGATGCTAGGTATAAGTAAAGAGAATAAGATATGCGAACCAATGGGGTCACGAAGCTGGGCCTCGAGGTGGCTGAAGCAGGACCTTGAGGTCTAGATGGGGCTAATAACGATGAACTATTGATAAAGAATCAATGGCAGTGAGGGCCTTAAAGATGGCCTTTTATGATAAATGGAGAACAATAAATGAACAATGTAGGAATAGGCAATAAATGTGTAGAACAGTTGTTTTAGCAAAGAGAGCAGAGAATGTTGTATGTTATTCAATATCAAGGTCCCTTACAAAATGATAAAGGTTCCCCTTATATAGGAGGGGTGAATCCCAATGTAGTACATGTCTAATAAATAAAGAATAAAAGCTACTAGTACAACTTTGCAACAGCTCAGTGCGGATTTGTACTACTCTTGCAGACTCTGTCAGTCCTTATCGAGTGTCCTCGGGGGTTTTCCGCCTTTCTATGTCGATCACCGAACCGTGCCGCTCTGAGATCGACCTTCGATGTGCCACCTCGAGGGATGCACCTCGAGGTCCGCCTTCAAATTCCACTTCGAGCTCCTCGAGGTCGGGCGTTGGAGCGCCACAGTAACCCTAAAGTCGAACTCTCCGATTTTGGCCGTATACAATAGTATAAAACATAGAATCTGCTGAATAAGGATAAGAAAAAGAATCTCGAGCAATCAAATTTTATCACGCAAAGAACAAGTGCAAATTTGATAGAACTTCATCTAAAATCATTTATAATTTAATTTTCATGAGAATTTGTTGACATCATTGTTTCCATCCAAGTGCAATCTTCTAAAGAGGTTCCTAACGAGGCATCAATATGAACGTCACTGACAAACGTATAGGAGCTGCTCAATGAACTCTGGGCCTACAATCAAAGTGGATAAAAGCCTCAAGAAACATCACTTGTGCGGCCTGCATAATTTGGGCCATTCCTTAGGGAAGTTTACTGCCTGTTAGTCTGTTAAATGTAGAGAAAATTTGCTTTTCATAATCTCTCATGTTTTGCCCCTATTGTTTGACCTAACCCGACTCCGAATTAGTTTTATTATTATTTTTTTTTTTTGTATTTGTAAGAAATTGCACTAAAACAATGAAGTAAATGGAAACACATGATATAGAGCCTGTTTGGACATAAGAAGTTTTTCACTTTTTTTTCAAAATCAGTGTTTGGCCATAAAATTTACAATTTTCACTTGAAGATGAATTTGGAATTTTTCGAAAATTTGAAAAACTCCAAAAAACTGTTTTTCAAAATTTTCACTGAGATCAATCACAAAAGTTCAAAAATAACCCAAAATTATATTCATATCCAAATACAACTCTAACTTTCAAATACCATTATCACTTGAAATTTTTTTTCACTTTTTTTTTGGAATTTTACAATTCTTATGTCCAAACGCCCCCTAACTCTTTTTTCATGATTTATATGACAGTTCTTCCGTCCTCTAATATTAAAAATTTGAGATCATTATGTTAATAAATACTCCTATAATTATGTCTTGTGACACCTGATTCAGAGATTAGACTAGATAGCGTATTTGGAGTTTATTATATATATTTTGAAGATCTACAGCTTTACCTTCTTATTAATCTGCTTTTAAATTGTTAAAAATAAATATGGTTGTAGCTGATGTTGGCTTGCCTAGCAAGTGGACGTTCGGCACTATCATGGCCCCGTGGTTGGAATTTTGTGTCATGACAAAAATTCTCCAGATTGGCTCACAGCGAGAGTCAAACACGGAACAACAATAGCGACAACAAATCAATTGAAGAAAGAGAAAAATATACAAAAATGGAGTTGTTGTTAAGGGCTCGAAATCGGATGCCACATGCCACCAAATCGAATCTCACCATTCAAATCAATGACCAAGATATCTGGAACACTCAGTCAAAATTTCAGCTCGATCCAGTAGTGAACGAATCGGAAAACATGCTTTGAAGCTGGTTGGTCGGAACAAAATTTGTAGCATAACAAAGACGTTTTCTTCTCTCTATGGAAGCTCTCTAAAAAACTACTCTTATGTACTAAATTCTTTCAAATACTTATATCAATGAGCATAGAACAATTATGCAAGGTTGTTTTATTGTAGATAATGAGTAGTGCTTTCTCTTAAAGCCAAAATCAACTTCAAATAGGAATAAAACTCGGATCCAATTCCAAGTAGGAATGAAAACCCAAAAAGAAAAGAATTAGGCGATCAGGCCTTTGGGTGAACAACATGGGCTTGGCCTAACAAGAACAAATTATGCTATATACCTATTCTACCCAAAATAATTACCTGCCTTTACCTATTCTAAAAATAATTACAATATATACCTATGCAACCAAAAATAATTCCCCGTTAATCCTTCTTCCTGTTTTGTTCTTGTTAAAGCTAATTTTTCTCCACCTTTTCACTTTCTTCTCTTATAATTTTCTCCGCTCTTTCTCTTTATTTCTTTTTGCCAATATCCCTACAATTTTTTTTAGATATATGATCTATCTACCTCTCTATCCTATCTTATTACTTGTCCAAGGAAAAAAAAAACCTAAAAAAGAAAGATCTATCAAAAAAAGATAAAAATTTCTAAGATTTCAGTTTGCTACAAATTTGTGAGGTTATGTATGTGATAATAAATTTTAATTGTCGACACTCTTTGTGGCAACTTTTGGTGTTAATGATGATTTTTTGAAGATTTAATTGTGACAAACATTAATCTACCATTGGAGGACCTTGAAGCTTGAAACTCATAAATTGAGTTTGTTGAGTTTGTGATTATTTTGATCCGATTCTGACTGAGTATGTTCGAAATGTTAAGTGGAGGAAGTGGACATATTCCGAGTCAATTTGATGGAGATTTTAGAGTAGATTTTTAAATTTTGGGTTGAAATTGAGTTGAACTAGCAAAGAAGACAGATTTGTACTGTATACCAAAATGGTATATTGTATACTCTATTGTGACAACACAAAGGGTCATCACCTGTGTTCCTGCTCCCTCTGTACTTCTGAGGCCCTGGAAACCTCATTTGGGGTTGCCTCGAGTTGTGTGCGCAATCCGGGCGCGTAGCCGGAAAAGTTTAAATATAAAATTGTGAGAAATTTTTTTAAACCTTGGTATTTAATTGATTAAGTTTGACTTCGGTAAACGTTTTGGGCAAATGGACCCGGACCCGTGATTTGATGGTCCCGGAGGGTCCGTAGGAAAATATGGGACTTGGGCGTATGCCCGGAATTAAATTCCGAGGTCCCAAGCCCGAGAAATAAATTTTTGTGTGAAATTGTTTTCTGGAAATAAATATGGAAAAATTGAAAATGAAATATGATTAAAAGACTATGGTATCGGGCTCGTATTTTGGTTCCGACGCCCGGTGCAAGTCTTATATGCGGTTTAAGTACTTTCTGTAAAGTTTGGTTGAATTTGGACGTCGTTTGACGTGTTTTGGACTAAAAACTCTAAACCTGATGTTTTATGAAAATTGGAAGGAAATCCTGGGTCTTGAGGCCTAATTTGATGATTTTGATGTTGTTTGGGCGATTTGATCGCACGGATGAGTCCGTCGGATGTTTTTGAGCTTATATGCATGTTCGGTTTGGAGCCCCGAGGGCTCGGGTGAGTTTTGAGTAGGTCCCGGGAGGTCTTAGGCTAGAAATATCAGATGGTTGCAGGTTCAGGTGTTGCAGGCCCCCAGCGCGGCCGCGGTCATTTCCGCGCGGTCCGCGCTGGAAGCCGCGCGGCCGCGGTGCATTTCTGCGCGGTCCGCGTGGCTAGGTTCAGAGGGCTAGTGAATTTCAGTTCGACCAGCACGACCGCGTGCCATATCAGCGCGGTCCGCGCTGGGAGATTCAGAGAGTGGGATTTGGGTTCATTCCTCCAGCGCGGCCGCGCTCTAAAACAGTGCGGTCCGCGCTGGGTATGTTCAGAGAGTGGTTTCCCCACTCTTCCTCGGCGCGGCCGCGGGGCATTTTTGTGCGGTCCGCGCCGGGTCTTAAGTACAGTATATAAAGTCGGGATTTTCAGTCATTTTTTTCACTTTTTCAAACCCAAACATAAAAGGCGATTTCCAACGATTCTACTTCTTGAAAACGATTGGTAAGTGATTTCTAATTTGATTTTCTAAACTCTTGACATCCTTAACATAATTTCAACTTTAAAACAAAGATTTTAATGGGGAAATTGGAATTTAGGGTAGAACCTAGGTTTTCTAAATTTGGGGGTTTTGGACCTCAATTCGAGATCTGATTCCAAAATAACTTACATATTTGAGTTCATGGGGGAATGGTAATCAGGTTTTGGTTCGAACCTCGGGTTTTGACCATGTGAGCTCGAGGGCATTTTTTGACCTTTTGGGTAAATTGATGAAAAAGCTATAGTTAATCATTTGTGTTTGATTTGTTTAGCACATATTGATATCATGAAGTCCTTATTGCATAGATTTGGTTGAGTTGGAGCCGAATTCGAGAGGGAAATCGATCGTGGAGGATTGTGTTGGCCGTGGAAGTTGAGGTAAGTGTTTGGTCTAACCCTAGCTTGAGGGAATAGGAGTCGAGTCTTGTTTGCTAATTGCTAAATGATCGAGTACGATGTATAGGCATGGTGACGAGTTCCTATACATTGGGGTCTAGCATGAGCGTGAGTCCTTATATGTGGGTTGTTTGGACATTGTTATGTTTTCCATGCTTATTTGATGGCTTCTATGCGTGGTAAACACCTTATGAAAGATATTGTGATTGTAGAAATTCGTGGAGCATTGGCTCGGTCTGAAATACAAATGGTGAGAGCATATGGAATGAGAATTGCCTTGGAGCTTGTCACGAGTGCTAACGAGAACTAGGATATGAAAATGAAAGAAAAAGAGAAATAACGATTTACTCATGCATGGTTATTATTGGTTGTTTGTGTACCCTTGTGGGGATTTCCTTCCAATTACTTGTTCACTCCTTTGCCCTTTATTTGTGACTGTTGTTTGGGCAAGGTTAGGAGGTAGACATTGTGGATCGGGTTGCACGCCGCAACAGTGATGATTGTGGATCGGGTTGCACGCCGCAACAGTGATAATTGTGGATCGGGTTGCACGCCGCAACAGTGATAATTATGGATCAGGTTGCACGCCGCAACAGTGTTGAAATGTATTAGGGTCGGGTTGCGCGCTGCAACAGTTATTGATGCAAATGTGTTTAGTGTTGGTATAAGTTTCGTGTTCGCCTTAAATTTTAAATTGCACCTAGATTGATTACTTTGGATTTACTGTTAGTATTGTTATCTCCCCACAGCATGTTTACCCTCCTATACTATATTTGCCTTGTACTTCGATTTCTGTTGTATATTTATAATTGCATAGGTTTATGTGAGGTCCAGTCTAGCCTCGTCACTACTTCGTCGGGGTTAGGCTAGGCACTTACCAGCACATGGGGTCGGTTGTGCTGATGCTACACTCTGTGCATTTTTGCACAGGTCTAGGTATTGAGCAGCAGCAATAGCATTAGCACGAGGGCGAACCTTCAGTCCAGAGAGACCCGAGGTAGCTTGCAGGCGTCCGCAGGCCCGGCGTCTCCCTTCTATCTTTAGATTTGGCTGTCATCTCATTGTACTCGAGATAAACAGATTATGTTTCTTTCAAACTTTGTATGTAGTACTCCTTAGATGTTCGTGAGTATGTGACTCCAGTCCCGGGGTAGAGATATATGTGTTGGAACTTTTGTATTATTGATCATCTATCTACATTTAAGTCTTTCGCTTATGATTTTAATTTCGTCGCCTTTATTTAATGCCGTTAAGTTTTAAAAAGGAACACGTGTTTAATGAATTTGTTAATTATGTTGGCTTGCCTAGCTCCTATTAGTAGGCGCCATCACGACCCTCGAGGGTGGGAAATCCGGGTCGTGACAAGTTGGTATCAAAGCTCTAGGTTACATAGGTCTCACAACTCACGGACAAGCTTAGTAGAGTCTGAGGGATCGGTACGGACGTCTGTACTTATCCCCCAGAGGCTGCCAAGTTAGGAAAAGTCTCTTATTTGTTCTTTCTTGTCGTGCGGTTTGGTTTCTCAATGCTAATTGAACTTCTACTCTGTTTCCTCGCAGAATGGCGAGAACACGCGCTTCCTCATCTTCAGACCAGCAGTCCGAGCCCCAGGCAGCTCCCGCTAGGGGCAGAGGACGAGGCCGTGCTAGAGGCCGAGGTAGGGGCAGAGCTCAGCCCCGAGCAGCAGCACCAGTGGCGGAGCCTCAGGTCGGTTTTGACGAGGAGGTTCCGGCCCCAGTCCTAGCAGCGCCAGTGGGCCCAGCTCAGGTCCCAGAGGGGTTTATAGCCACCCCAGTTCTTCAGGACGCTTTGGTCAGATTGGTGGGCTTTGTGGAGAGCGTCACTAGAGCGGGTTTGCTTCCAGTAGCACCAGCCACTTCTCAGGCTGGAGGAGGAGTTCAGACTCCAGCTACATGTACTCCGGAGCAGGTGGCTCCCCAGGCTCAGGATCCAGTGGTTCAGCCAGCTGTGGCAGCTCAGCCGGGTATTGTGACTCAGATCGGCGATGGAGCGGCTATGTCCGCAGATGCTTTGTGGAGACTGGATAGGTTCACCAAACTCTTCACCACCACTTTCAGCGGTGCTTCTTCAGAGGACCCCCAGGATTTCTTATATAGCTGCCACGAGGTTCTTCGGAACATGGGAATTGTGGAGTCCAATGGAGTTGATTTTGCTACGTTCCGTTTATCTGGGTCCGCCAAGACTTGGTGGAGGGATTTCTGTTTAGCCAGACCAGCGGGGTCGCCGGCTTTGACATGGGATCAGTTTGCAGAGTTGTTTTTGGAGAAGTTTCTCCCAGTTACTCAGCGAGAGGCTCTTCGCAGGCAGTTCGAGCGTCTCCAGCAGGGCTCTATGACAGTCACTCAGTATGAGAC